CACAGCTCTCCCGAGCCTGGAGACACGAGGCGTCACTCGTGACAGCCTCCCCTGCCCCCTCGAACAGTCGCCGTGACAGCCTCCCCTGCCCCCTCGAAGAGTCGCCACCCAATAATGATGGGCTGGCATGGCGGCGGGACTTGCCGCAGGCAGCCGGATGCCATCACCAGCCACGTCCCCTCCTCCTCCTCCTTCTCCTCCTCCTCCTCCTCCTCCTCCTCCTCCTCCTCCTCCCCCTCCTCGTCCTTTGCCTCCTCGCACGCAGGCCTCGAGCGCCTTCGTCTGCGCCACGGCCTCCGCCCATCCCTCGGGCGCGCCGCAGCGCCTGGAGATGGAGCTCATCAGCTGCTGGTTCGCCTGCCGCGGCGCGGCTCCCTCCCCCTCCCCGATGTCCTCCCCACGTCCCCGTCCCCTCCATTCGGATCCCACCCAGCGCACTGCCTCCTTTCCCTCCCCTCCCCTCCCCTCCACAATTACTCAATATGAATACTACTCTCCCTCTTCCCCTGATGACGGTTCGAAAGTGCTCGGCCCCCCCCGCGTACTGTTTTTTACACGCAGGTTTCCCCGGAGTTGGGTTTTCGCCTGCATTTGTTCAAAATGCTGCTGTCGCTGAGGCGCCGGCCTCATCTTCGGGCCCCGCTCGTTCCGAATCGTGCTCCCGCTGCAGCGCTGGCCTCATTTCCGTGCTTCCACTCGTTCCGAATCGTGCTCCCGCTGCAGCGCTGGCCTCATTTCCGCGCTTCCGCTCGTTTCGACTCGTGCTCCCGCTGCAGCGCTGGCGTCATTTCCCGTACCATGCCACGGCATGCAATGCAATGCTAGGTTGATACTACGCTTTGCGGTGCTCTTCTACGCCATGCCATGCCGTGCTCTACAATGCATCGCGTACCCTGTCAGGATCCTTGCCCTGCTCGACATCCGACTGTGCGAGTAGAGAGGGGATCTACGCCATGGTAAGGGATGGGAGGGAGGGGTAGGATGTCAGATATGACGCGAGCGCACCCAGCTTGCCCCCCCTCCCCTCCCCCCCTCCCTCCCTCCCCCCTTCATTCCTTCCGTCCCCTCCGTTCTTCCACTCCTCTCCCCTACCTGACCCTCCCCCGACAGATCGTGGCCTCCTCTCCCCGCTGACCCCTTTTTCGTCCTGCGCCTCCCTGACATTCTAGTCGGCGCCCCCCCTCCCTCCCTCCCCCCTTCCTTCCTTCCCCTCCATTCTTCCACTCCCCTCCCCTACCTGACCCTCCGTTGACAGATCGTGGCCTCCTCTCCCCGCTGACCCCTTCTTCGTCCTGCGCCTCCCTGACGTTCTAGTCCGCGCGCGGCCCGCCACCCCTCGGTTTTTTCTCCTTCGGCCGCCAGGGGACCAAAAGCCTCCCATCCTAGGAAGGCACCAACTACACACCAACACCGATCCTGGCCCAGGATCACCCTGGGCCCAGGATCGGTGTATACGCCCTCCTGCCCTGCGCAAGAAGGCATATACACCGATCCTGGGCCCAGGGTGATCCTGGGCCAGGATCGGTGTTGGTGTGTAGTTGGTGCCCTCCGACATCCCTTACATTCCCCGTCCACACCCTCCCCCCGTGACTCTCCGACGGGGCGCAGAAGGGAGGGGCGGGAGGGACGGCCAAGCTGGCGGTCACGGAGGCAGCGGTGGAGGAGCACCGTGCCCAGTGACAAGGCGGGCGTTCAGAACCGCGAGGTGCGACGCAGGCGTCACGGGTATACTATGTCCATCTTCCTTCCCTCCCTCCCTGTCGCCCCTCCCAGTCATCATTCTCTGCGTTCCACACATCCCGCCCTCCCTCCTTCTGTCCCTTTCTCCCGCCCTACCTCCCATCATCCTCACCCCGTCCAAATTCAATGTTGGTCACAAAAACCGAGACCTCCATTTCGCAAACGGGCGACCGGGGCCAATTGACTGCTGACTGTGTGGGAGCTGCGCAGGAGGTCCCGCGCATGAGCTGGGATCTCCTAGACTTCAGCCGCGCATCCAGAGGTTATCCTCGGTCTTCTTCTCCGCCTCCCGAATCCCCGCCGTACGAGCGTGATTCTCGCTTTCACGCGCGTGCGCCCGCAAAAGAGCAGCCAGGGGCGGGCGGTCGCACAGACTCGGAAGGCGCACTTCTATGGGAGGCCTCCGAGGCAATGCAGGGCCGAGAGCATGCCCCAGCACCACTGCCACGCGGCTTCTGCGTCCCTCCCAGGAGGAGGAGCAGGGGGAGCAGTGAGAGCGAAGAGGAGGCGGGACGAGGGGGCGGGAGGGAGAGAGGAGGCAAACTCAACATCACGCCTCGACGGCACGGTTCAGGTGCCTGTCGGGGAGGCTGGTGTCCTCCTTCTTGAGCGCCTGCGGCACAGGCGCCCCTCTCCCGCGCGACTTCTCTCGCGCAGCTTCGCGTGGCCACTTCTCGCTCGCGCCACTCCCCATCCCGCAACGACCCACACCATCCCGCGGCTCCTCTCCGCGAGCTTGCGCAATCTCTGGCCCCTCGTGCGCCACTCCCCGGGCTCCGCAAGCGTCACTGGAGCGCCTGGCAGATCTTGCGACAACACAATGTCAAGCGTGTGAATCAGGCGAGATGGCATGCGGGAGTCACAACCCGCCTCATCTGCGACTTCATAATATGCATCCTCCTCGTCATTACCGCCACCCTAGACGGCCTAAGAGCGCCCCGAGACGGCCCCAGAGAGCCCCAAATTGGCCCAGGAGGGCACATGGAGACCCCCTCAGACAACCCACATGGCAAGAAAAGAGCCTCGAGAAAAACCTAGAGGGCCTCTGTCCAGTGTTCCCCAAATGAAATCCCAGACAGCTGAGGAAACTCGCAGTCCACTAGAGTGGCTGCCCTTTCGCTCGACATCGTACGACACAGGCATTTTTGTTAAGGCATTGGGGGGGGTGACTCGCCGTGGGCGTCCTTGATATCGTTATTCCTCTTCAGGTTCCTCTGCCTCGTCATCAGCATCACCGCTTCTTGCTTCTCAGTAAAGTGTGTTTTCCTGCTCGTCCTCTTCATCCTCATCATCCTCATCATTATCCTCATCAGCACCATAAACACAATCATTACCATCGTCATCACCATACTCATCATCATCATCATCATCATCATCATCATCATCATCATCATCATCATCATCATCATCATCATCATGAACATCAGCATCATCATCATCATCATCATCATCATCATCCTCATCCTCATCATCATCATCATCATCATCGTCGTCGTCGTCATCAGCATCATCATCAACATCAGCATCATCATCATAGTCTTCATCATCCTCATCATCACTACCATCACTATCGTCAGTGTCCAGATCATCATCATCATCATCATCATCATCATCATCATCGTCAGCATCAACGTCATCGCCAGCATCATCCTCGTGCTGATCATCATCGTCATCAGCATCATTATCATCTGTCATCGTCATCAGCAGCAGCATCAGCATCATCATCATCAGCATGACCATCATCATCATAATCAGCAGCATCGTCATCATCATTATCATGATCATTAATATCAGCGCCATCATCATTGATATTATTATCCTAATCCTCATCATGATCATCATCGGCATCACCATCGTCATCATCAGCATCATCATCATCGTCGCCATCGTCATCATGACTATCATCAGCATCAGCATCATCACCATCATCAGCATCACAATCATCATCACCATCATCATGGTCATCATCATCGTCAGCATCAGCAACATCATCATCAGCATCGTCATCATAATCATCATCAATATCATCATTAGCATCACCATCATCATACTAATCATAATCATTGTCATCATCATTATCATCGCCATCATCATCGTGCACACCGCCATCTTCATCAAACGACATCATCGCCACAGTCATTATCATCATCAGCAGCGGCAGCACCAGCATCCGCATCATCACCATCATCACCATCATCACCATCATCATCAGTAGCATCATCATCTTCATCAGCATCAGCCTCAACCGCGTCATCATCATCATCAGCATCAGCAGCATCACCACCATCATCATCATTATCAGCATCATCAGCATCATCAGCAGCATCAGCATCAGCATCAGCATAAGCAGCATCAGCATCAGCATCATCACCACCATTGTCATCATCATCGCCAAACAATATTCCCAAACACATTCCTCCTCCTCCTCTTCCTCCTCCTCCTCCTCCACCTCCTCCTCCCTCCTCCCTCCTCCTCCCCGGAACGGGCCTGCTCCAGCACGCCGACTTCAGACCTGAAAGACTCCAGGAGAAGCTCAGGTTCCTTGCTGGATGCGGCAGGCGGTTGTAGAGGAGAGGGAGGAGGAGGAGGAGGAGGAGGAGGAGGAGGAGGAGGAGGAGGGGGTGGAGGAGGAGGAGGAGGAGGAGGAGGAGGAGGAGGAGGAGGAGGGGGAGGAGAGGAGGAGGAGGGAGGAGGAGGGGGAGGGGGGGAGGAGGAGGAGGAGAAGGAGGAGGAGAAGGAGGAGGAGGAAAGGGAGGAGGAGGAGGAGGAGGATGAGGAGGAGGACTCACGAACGCCACAGGGATACTTTAGGTCGGGCTAAAAAGGAGGAGGAGGAGGCGGAGGAGGCAGAAGAGGTGGAAGAGAGGCCTGCGATGCATGCACCACCCCCTCCAGCTTGCTGTAGGCATCGTCCAACTCCCCCCGTGAGTACTGCTGGTGCCCGAGACTCGAACCAGCAGACCACAGTGGTGAACGATCCACTTCCTGCACCAATCCTGCCACGTCCTTCTTGCGCACAAGTCTCTCTGGTACATGGCACAGCCCTGTCCTCAGGCTGAAGCTGTCTCCACTGTGCAGCTGTGCCACCCCCGTCGTCCTGGTTCATCGGCGAGCCATTTCTTCTTACTGGGGCCTTCCTCTTCGTCCCCATTGTCCACCTCCTCGTCCTCATGAGTGACGAAGCGGTCGTCCTCATCAGTGCCGTCGTCACCCAGGGCGACCCACCCAGGCCACGTCTCGATGCCTGGCGCGGTGCTCAT